AAGGAAAAATATCGAATGGTCTCACCTGTAGGAGGAATGTAGAAAAAAACCAAAAAGGAATCAGAAAAATAAGTAACTACAATAAATTAAAAATAAAATCATCAATCAACTATAGATCAGAGACATTCTGTAGGGGAGAAGAAGGGGAAGGACCAGGACAGGAGTGGGAAGAGAATAAGGGACTCTGGTGATGATGCATGGGTGAGTTGGTGGTGAGAGTTTCATGGGGAAATCATACATTGTACAAAAATGAAGAATGGTATAATGAATATTTTTTTAAATTAATTTATTTATTCGTACATAACTGGGGTACAGGCCAGAGATGTGGAGGGTGAGAGGATTCACTAGGAACAGAGTGGGGTACAGAACAGGCAGATCGATGAAGTACACTGCTGAGGGGAGCAGCGGGCGCGTCAGGAGAGGTCTGCTTCACCATGTGGATCTCCTCCGGGGTAGGCGGGGATCGAACTCATGCGGAAGTGGCTTAAGCTTCTTTGTGCTGTGCTTTAACCCGCTGCGCCACCAGGGAGGGCCCATGAATATATTTTTTAAAATTAAAACAATTTTTTAATGCTTCCAAAAACTTTGTAGGCTTTTTATGTAAAGAGGAACAGCTCTTTAGGAATTTGGAATCTCAATGATAGTGGCTTATTTACTGGCTAGCCCTAAAAACTTTACATTTAAAAATTAAAATTTTGAAGTTAATTAAAAATTGTCCTTATGCTAAAGAAATTAAACTTGCTTTTTTTCTGAAATGTGAAAAGATGACACTTTAGAAAAAGTACACAGCTGTAAGTGTTTGAGCAAATCCAATTCAAGCCCACTTCTGGTCTATTTCAGAGGTTTAAAATTTTTATCTCTCTGTTTCCTTTCATTCTTTTTTTAGCCAAAGTTTCCAAAAAGGGGTTTCAGGTCAGAGTAGGACTTGTAGTCTTGTAGTTGTCAGGAACTGTTCCAGTCACCTCTGTTTCAACAAGAGCATTCAGCTTTCATTTGCATGACGCTTCCACTGAAAAATGTTTGAAAACCATGTTTAAGAGGTGACAATGCAGAATGGGAACAGTAATAAAACTCACCAAGAACTGGTAACCATTATCCACTGCTTTTCAGCTGCTCTTCGCAAGTCTTTAAAGAGTGCTCATAAATCATGCAGAAGAGTCAGATCCTGAGGAGTCACAGGACTCCTCATCATGCAACAGTATAAATGACTGAACAGAGTCCTAGCCCTCACCCAAACACCTATATCACCGCTTCCTACTCATATTCCAAGTTAACTGTAACAGTCATCAATAGGAGTAGCTGCTAAGATCCATGGAAAAACAGTTTTGGAAGGGAATGTCTGGGAATATTGCTCTAGAAAAGGACTTTCTTTACATCTGATTTAAAAATGGTTGAAGGCATAGATACTAAGGACCTAGGGTCATCTTATCAGAAGACAGGGCAAATAGGAAGGAAAGAAGACCCAACATGAGGATCACTTGTTTTGGATGCAGTTTCAATGTCAAACCAAGGGAATTCACAGAGGGGAATTTTTAATTCTGCAATGATGAGCACCAGAGGGCCCAGATGAAAAGTATATGTTCTAACAGCCCAGTTGGGACATCTCAGTTGTCACTGTGTGCCTAGAAAGATAGGCAGGCAGTGGTATCTAGGTCTATCAGTAGGATCCGTAGGCAGTAGACTCATGTTTAGGGGTGTTTTTGGCCCCGAATCTGTAAATAGCCAGGCTGAGTTTTCTTCCATACTTAACTGGGTTATTGGCAATTTTTTGGTGTGGGTACTTAAGTTGGAGGAAAAAAACCTAAAATTCTCATCCTTCAAACTGAGCACATAGGGAAACTGTCTTTTGGAGCAGAAGACAGAAGACTCATTTTTAGATTAGAGGAATATACAGGGGGTTGCAATGTACAAGAATGACTCAGGAATTGGGTGGTAAGCACTAGGATTCCATGTCATGGATCATCAAACTGGGAGGATGATTCTAGTGGAATGAGCATGGGTCATGATGTGAGGGGGCAGAATCAGGTAAAATGAAGCTAGGGTAGAGAGAGAAAAGCTAATGGTGTGCTGTGACTAGGTTATTTCACAAAAATAATGGTCATATGTTCTTAAATCTAGAGATAAGAGCTAAGTTATTCTACTGGATGTTTAAATCTGGCAAAAAAAATTAAATAATTTGAATTCTAACTAATGCAGCCTACTAATAATCTTTGACAAAGACTATAAACAGAGAAGGGAGTTGCTATAAACATAGCTAGCTCATTCCTTTTGTGCATATTTTTAGTGAAGTAAACTGATGGTCGTTTGTCATGTCCTTACATTTGATACATTTGATTTCAGACTTCTCTTAGGTGCTAGGGGTGGTACACTCTCATAACAAATTAATGAAAATTTTGGTCTCATAAAAACCTGGGAAGACAGCTGAAAGAAAGCCAGTAGAGAACTGGGAAGAAGAAGGATGTTTGCATGCTGTTATATGGATGCCAGCCCTTTGATACAAATTCTTTTATTTTGATCAATACTAAGATTTTGCTTCAGTGTGATGGTACAAATAACTTAAAGGCAGCTCTTGGTAATATGAAACATTGATCTCGTGGATGCCTATAAATTTCTGACAAACTGAAATCAGAGATTTAAAGAGTAGAAGGGACTTTAAAGGTCATCTAAATTAAATTGATTCATTTTACAACTTAGAAGAAAGAGACCTGTAAAAGTCGTAAGACCTGCTTAATGCCAAGATATGAATGGCTGAGCCAGAAAGGGAATCTATTAAACTGTATTTCTAATCTACTACTATTTCCATAACCACCCTACAACTCCAGGTTAAAAAAAATAATTAGGCCCTCCCTGGTGGCGCAGTGGGTTAAAGCACAGCACAGAGAAGCTTGAGCCACTTCTGCATGAGTTTGATCCCCGCCTGCCCTAGAGGAGATCCACATGGTGAGGCAGACCTCTCCTGACTGAGCCGCCAGCTGCTCCGCTCAGCAGTGTACTTCGTCAGTCCGTCTGTTCTGTACCCTACTCTGTGTCTGGTGAATCCTCTCACCCTCTGCATCTCTGGCCTGTACCCCAGTTCTGTACGAATAAATAAAATAAATCTTTAAAAAAATAATAATAACAAAACTTTAATCTGCATTTGTTCTAATTTTCAAATCAATTTATTATTTCCTATGAGGATTTGTAATGGGCATTTCCAGTAATGCTGGTGCTAGTTTTGACTTCTGCAAAAGCTCAAATGCATCCATTAAATTTCTTCCTTCCATTGGTAGTGACTGCATATTAATTGTAAAATGTTTGTTGAGTTCTGTTGAAATGAAAATTTAAAAAATTGGAAATTCGATTGTTACAGTTGGGAAAAGAGCCCATATTTTTTTTAATCTTTTAGGGCAAGCATTTGCCTCAGGGATCCTAAAACTCTCAATACTTTTTCTTTATCCACGAAATAGAAAAAGAAAGGGATTTCTGGTCCCTTTTCATCCTCGTCAAATTCTTGTGTTTATTTCTTAGCGATTTCTGCTGTGTATGTGAACTATGACCATATAAGAAAATGGTCTGTTTTAGGTCATGGGCTGTGGGCAGAGATTAATTGGTGAAAAAATGGGCCTGTTTGTGGGATTTACCACACAGTAAGGTTTCTCATCTCCCTGGAAAAATGTGGAATTAGCTCTTTGAGAAATGCAGGCCTCTCAGGAGCTTGAAGGGAGAGTTTCGGTGGAGGGAAACACAGTTCACTCTCTAAGGCAGTTATGATTGGTTAGATTCCAGAGCAGTCCCTTTGGTATAAGCAAAGTTCTCCCTGCTTTCAAGTCAGCGTTTCCTACGTGTTGCTAGTTTCAGCCGTAATTCAGAGATAGCATCTTATTTGGCTTCTTTCTCTGCCAGCCTATCCAAGCTGGGAAACAGTCTTGGGGAGGACTCCTGATCGTCCCACCCCCCTCCGGAAAACTTGCCGCTGTTACAGGGGAAAGCTGTTACAGGGGAAAGCGTTCCTTGTGGAAAGAACGGCAACAGCAGATTTTCTGTGCTTGTGGGAGGGAGATACAAGATGTGGACCAGGGTATGTATGGCAAGAGTGTTAGCTCCTCATCTGTGATGATGTTCTTGAGAAAGATATTTACTTGGATGCGCTCAGAGAAGAGCATGCCACTGGCACGCACCTCCCTAGGCGTCACCGCAGGGATCCTGGGCCTGCTCAGGGCCCAAGAATCATCCTGGAGGGGTGACCTAGGCACAGCGATTTGGGTTTGTTTTCCGAACCCGAGGTGGTGTCAGGTCCTCTCCGGGTCACAGCTTGGCTGGGACAGCCCAAGGGCCCGCTCTGAACTCGAATGCGGTGGAGACAGGACCTGCCACCTCCCCTCTCAAGTCGTTTCCCTACTAGTCGCCCTTTTGGGTACCACAACGCCCTCTTTCCCCTAGACTCGGCGGAGAGAGATCCGCCGGAGCCTGGCTGGGAGTCTCTAACTTACCCGGAAAGGCAACCTGCGCGTCTGGGTCCCGGGAAGGCGGACTTGCCATCCGAAGAGGACCCGGCTCGCCTCTCCCACAGCCGGCGGGGTCTGGGCGGCTGTACCCTGTCCCGGCACGCCCAGTCGGTGGGGTCCCCAGCTCGCGTCCACTCACCCGCGGGGCGAGCGGCGGCGCCGGTACGGGGCGCGGGAGCGCGCG